CAACGCACGTCCCGCAGGCCTCACAGGCGACCCCAACGCACGTCCCACAGGCTTCACAGGCGACCCCAACACACGTGTCCCGCAGGCTTCACCGGCGACCCCAACGCACGTCCCACAGGCTTCTCCACCGACCCCACCGACCTGCAACGCATGTCCCACGCGCTTCTCTGCCGACCCCCAAAGCACGTCCAGTGCGCTTCACCATCAAACCTCAACGCACCCTATGCAGGCTTCATCACCAACCCTCAAGGTACACCACGCAGGCTTCTCCACCGACCCACAACGCACATACCATGCAGTTCTTCGCCGATCCCCTACCAACATCTTAGTGCTTGTCCACCAACCTCCCACACACATCCAGTGCACCCTCAACACATACTAAGCAGGCTTAACCACCAACCCTCAATGTACACCACACATGCTTCAGCGTCAATCCTCAACGCACACCATGCGCGCTTCTCCGCCGACCCTCGAGGTACACCACACAAGGTTCTCTGACAACTCTCAGCGTACTCTTCTCTGCCGGCCATCAACACACGTCCCACGCTCTTCACTACTGGCCCCCAACGCACATCCCGCGCACTTCTCCATGACCCCCAGTGCATGTCTCGTGTGCTTCACCATCGACCCTTAATGCATGCTCTGCACGCTTCTCCGCCAACCCTCAACGCAACCTCCAGTGGCTTCATCACCGACTCTCAAGGTACACCATACATGCTTCTCTACCGACCCCCAACGTTGGTCCCACGCACTTTATCACAGACCCCGAACGCACATCCCGTGCGCTTCTCCGTCGACCCCCTACAACACCCCGCATTCTTCCCAGCTGACCCCCAACACACATGCCATGCACTTCTCTGCCCACCCCAACGCATGTCTCACACACTTCTCTGCCGGCCCCCCCAACGCACTTCCCAAGCACTTCTCCCACAAACCCCAAAGCCCCACACACATGCTTTATTATGCTATGCTTTTAGTACACTCTCACCAATAAGAATGTATTAATAATTCAGGATCTCATCCCGCTCAGCAAACACATATAATTCACTAGAGAAAATACAAATCCTCATCAGCCAGCCCACAACTCCCAATAACTCACTTGTAGTAAATATATGAAAATGTAAATATTGTCCTGATATGTTTACTAACATGACACAAGATACAAATACATGGAGGAGGAGAAGGGAACTGATCACTGTGACAGAATGTCCGGCCAGTACACTACTGTCAGTGAGAGAAGCTGGGAATACAACAGAAACGGACAACGGACGGAACAGAACTCACAGACATCGGCTCCTTCCACAGACTGATACCAGTCAGGGCGGAATAACAGTGCACACACACACCCACCTACCCGACTCCTCATACCCCCTCGGCTGTCTCCAACCTACCTGTCCTCTCCAACAGCCTGTCACGGCCTCTCCGGTATTTCTCTAACCTGTTTAGATATGGGAACTGAATACGCAGCTCCCTGTTCCCTCCTATAGCCGGAGACACTGCCTGAAACACCGAGCAGAGCGCTGTACACACAGGAAGCTTAGCGAACTACAATACCCACAATTCTTTACTTCAGCAGCATGGAAAACTTTATTGAAAATTAACAATCAAGGACCTACAAACCAAGATGAGCTTTTAAATGTGTCCAGTGAGCTGCAACTGCACAACTAAAGTTTTAAAAAATGTTAGCAGCTAAAAAAAAAATAAATTCCTAAAAGAGTCTCAAGTTTCTAATGACAAAAAAGAAACTATTTTCTCCCTTTTCTCTTAGCAATACTTTTGTCACAGTGCTGTGTACAATATACTGTATATAGTATACACTATACAATCTGTATTAGCTGTAATTGTCCAGTCTCGTTTAGACCTACCTGATTTGATAGAAATGCAATTGAATGTTTAGGTTTGTCCTCATATTTCATAGTTTTGGCATGTACAAAGGAAATTGTACAGTGATTGTATATCAGCTTGTATAGTGTATGGTCATCTTAATATCTACATCTGCAATAACGTTCAGGTATTCTCTGCATCTCTTGATTTCTTTTGCTCCCGGTAACCCCCAATCTGTAAATTCTGGGATCCACAGAGAGCACGAATCTTAGGGGAGTCCACAGAGAGCATGCATCCTAGGAGAGGCCACAGAGAACACGCATCCTTGGGGAGTCCACAGAGAACACGCATCCTTGGGGAGTCCACAGAGAACATGCATCCTTGGGGAGTCCACAGAGAACACGCATCCTTGGGGAGTCCACAGAGAACACGCATCCTTGGGGAGTCCACAGAGAGCACGCATACTTGAGGAGTCCACATAGAGCATGTATCCTTGGGGAGTCCACAGAGAGCAGCATCCTAGAAAGTCCACAGAGAGCATGCATCCTAGAGGAGTCTACAGAGAGCGCATATCTTAGGGGAGTCAACAGAGAGCGCATATCCTAGGGGAGTCTACAGAGAGCATGCATCCTAGGGGAGTCTACAGAGAGCATGCATCCTAGGAGAGTCCACAGAGAACATGCATCCTAGGGGAGTCTACAGAGAGCGCATATCCTAGGTGAGTCTACAGAGAGCGCATATCCTAGGTGAGTCTACAGAGAGCGCATATCCTGGGGGAGTCTACAGAGAGCGCATATCCTAGGGGAGTTCACAAAGAGCACGCATCCTTGGGGAGTCCACAAAGAGCACGCATCCTTGGGGAGTCCACAGAGAGCACGCATCCTAGAGAGTCCACAGAGAGCATGCATGTTTGGGGAGTCTACAGAGAGCATGCATCCTTGGGAAGTCCACAGAGAGCACGCATCCTTGGGGAGTCCACAGAGAGCAGGCATCCTTGGGGAGTCCACAGAAAGCATGCATCCTAGGGGAGTCCACAGAGAGCATGCATCCTTGGGGAGTCCACAGAGAGCACGCATCCTTGGGGAGTCCACAGAGAGCATGCATGTTTGGGGAGTCCACAGAGAGCATGCATCTTAGGGGAGTCCACAGAGAGCACGCATCCTTGGGGAGTCCACAGAAAGCATGCATCCTAGGGGAGTCCACAGAGAGCATGCATCCTTGGGGAGTCCACAGAGAGCATGCATCCTAGGGGAGTCCACAGAGAGCATGCATCCTGGGGGAGTCCACAGGGAGCATGCATCCTTGGGGAGTCCACAGAGAGCATGCATCCTAGGGGAGTCCACAGAGAGCATGCATCCGAGGGGAGTCCACAGAGAGCGCATATCATCACCAGCTTGAGAAAAACTGTTGCTCCCAGGCGCCCTCCTATGACCAAACCAGTAAACTTCATCATTGTGCGACTACTAGCAAACTCCAAAGGCTTGTTCATTTGCTCAGCTACTGCGAGTACTAAGTTAGCAAACTGCCACTGAAAGCTGTGCTGCAAGTCAGAGCTCAGCCCTGCTAACTTAGCACTTGCAGCGAAAGTGAATGCAGAGTGCTAAGTGGGATTGAGAAGGTGGGGAAGGTGGGCACACCTGGCAGCGCTGGAGAAAGGTGCCTGAACCCTGATGGAGGAAATCAATTCGGCATGGGAACCTACAATTTAATGTTTTGGTTGATGAACACACCAAATATCTGTTGGAAAATGGTATTTATTAGTCAGAAATATTATCCTCCACCCTTTTGCTTAACACTGTGCAGCCGAAGTGTTCAGTGAAGTTGCTGCAGCAAATTGAAGTGCTGCAGAACAGTGATGATGTGACTCCAGTTCACTTTATAATCATCAGTCTTTTCACCTGGTTTCCGCCCATGCGTTTGACTCACCAAGTGCTCTGCTGCCGTTCCTGTGCTCCGTGTATGATCCTGGCTCTGTCTACCGATCTCCTAGTTACTGACTCTGTTTATTGTATTTGTTCATCGTGGCCTCTGCATTCCCAGACCTGGCTTGGCTGACTACCCGCTTTGGCTTCTGACATCTGACTCAGCTCTGACATGTCTTGTATTTACCTATTGTTTTGCTATTTTGTTTATTGTTGCTTTCAATAAACTGCTTCATTTTTTAACCTATACTTTTAGTTTCCGTCTGGTTTCTTTATTGCCAGACAAAGAGTCATAGGGTGTCTGGTATTGGGGAGCGGAGAGGAGATGCTGACTGTGGAGTTTTCAGTACAGAAGGGTGTCTGATATGGGAAGGTGTTATAGATTGCAAGATGGTCAGTATGCAGGAAGGGTGGAAGGAAAGTCACAGCCTTCAGGGTAATAACAACATATATACCCTCACTGGATCACCTTAGGGTAGAGAGAATTGTGTCCTTTAAGACTGTGACACACTGCATGCGAAGCAGTTCAGAGCAAAGCGAAGCTGGGGGGCACAGAGCTGAGCGCAGCCAGATGAAAGACTTCATCTTAAGCCAATCGGCTCACGCCTAACAACGCAATGAACTTCGCATCCTGACATGTGGGTTTATATGCGCAAGCCGATTGGCTGAAGATTAATTTGTTCATCTCAGCTATGCTAGTTCTTGCAACCTGATGCGCCGGATCGAAAATGTAAAGACACACTGCAGGCGAAAGGCTGCGTGCTGCCGCTTCCCTTTGCCACACCCCACTTCGCATACAGTGTGTCACCAGCTTTATTCATATAAAGCAACAGACTTTACAAGCCGCTTTTTAGGGACCGCGCAGGTCACTGGATGGGACAAACTATGATACTGCCAGGTTTTCAATAATGGATATAAATCAAACAAAACATTGCCCAGCAAAGTATTCCTTTAAATGTTTGTCCAAACACTTACAGTAATCATGTTTCCAAACTGCTCCAACTCTCTAATATCGGCTTCCTTGAACTTCCTGTCCAGTACCTGATCACAAGGACAGAGCAGAAGTCAGCAGCTGTCCATCTACTAGCTTGGAGAAGGGAGGAGGGGGTGGATTGTCTTGCTTTGTCTATTTGTTTTTGGAGACACACACAGCTTACTAGAACACACAAGAGTGGCACTATAGGACCCTGCAAGGGAAAGGAGCCACCCTAAAACAGGATATCAGGGTCAGTACTCAGGAAACCACCCTATTCTGCAGAAAGCTAAAACTTTTAAACACGAAGGAGCAGCATCCATTGTAAGTGATTTATTCAGCATTTGAAATCGTTTAAAAACATTTTGACTTCAATATCACTTTAAATATTCATATCACAGGCTATATAATCAAGCTGTGGTACTTAAAGTTGAATCCCCACCAAAACATTTTTGTTTGGGGAAGGATATGAACCCCTTCTGAATTTGGATTGCTGTCCCAACTGGGTAGATTTACACTTACCTCCTGTTATGTCACTTGAACAGGAAGTTATAAACACAAAGGATAATATATCTTTCAGTTTTCTACAGCAGCCTGTGTACTTTGGTAACATTTCTTCGTTTCCTGTGCTCACTTCTTGTTAGTGCTCACTAACAGGAAGTGAGAAGAAATCTCTCAAACAGGGGGCGCAGACAGAAAAAGCCCTAATAGTGGGTCTAACCCTTCCCCTCCCTAAGGTTTTTACTGGAGATCCACTGTAATGATATAAAAAAGTGACCTACGTTATATCTTTGAGTCCAGATAGAGAGATGAGTTCTTGATTCACTGCAATATTCAAATAATACAAAGGGTATAGCCCTTTGTATTCTTTGTAATAAATGGCCCCAGGACGTGGTGAAAGTTACCTCACCGTCTCCCAACAGTAGACCTAGAGGATTTCTCCCCTCGAAGGGGGGATGGGGGCAGGGGGCCAGGTACCTCTCTCTTCCTGATCTCCTCTTCTACAACTATATTCGTGTTTCCATAAGGAAATGCTGCATCCCCTTGACTCCGCCCTTTTCTGTCCTTTCTCTCTCCCTCTTGTATAGTTCCTATATAGAAAATGAGCAGATCTGAAGAATTGATTCAGCAATTTTGCTGTTCATACGAACTCACCTTCATGGTACGGCCACGTGACATACCCTACTATACAATTCTGTTATTATTTTCATGGTAACCTGTCATAATCAAGTTTTGATTTACAAACTTTATGTGAATTCCATAGCTCTAGGAATACTCCAAGAATACAAACAGGGTAATTGTGTGATTTGTCTTTGTGTATTACTACATGCAATACGTGTTTATTGTACTTGTTCAGATAATAAACTAATTTTTTTTTAAATGGCCTCAGCACGTTTTATTTTTGCCCCTGCGAAACAGTATGCTGTGGGCTGCTTGCAAAATAAAATCTGATGGAGCACATATACAAATCAATACAGTAGATTATTTGTCCAGCAGTAATTGCCGGAGTGAGATAACTAGATTTATATGTGTGCCTCCTACTGAGATTGGGGCGAAAAATCAAACATTTATGAGGTGTATGAAGAAACTATTAGAACATATCTCATGGCAGTGATTGATGTCATATGGTGCCTTGTATAATATTCTATCTTGATATATTAATTTAAGACAGAATGAATATGTTCCTGTATACCATTTATTCCATCTTACAGGAAGCCATTTCCATCAGGATTTAATCATATAACCTTTTGCATTTCCCCATTTGTTAAAGTCATTCTGATAAACTGTTTTTGCTGACATTTTTGTCTGGACTTTA